TACTTGAGTAAAAGTCTTAAGTACAATAAATATCACATACTTGAAGTACGAAAAGTATTTTTTAAATCTTAAACATACTTAAGTATTGAAAGTAAAAGTACAAGTAAATGCAAAATGGAAAAGAAGCAAATAAATATATATAAAAAATGTTCATACAGAGCTTGAGTAGCAAGATTGTGTTCAGTTTTAACTCTTTCTTCCATTTTGTATTTTTGGGTAAGAATAAGAAGCACTTCACCCGGTACTTAGTGTCTTTCATTCCAACATAAGAAACATTTCTGGAATCTGCATCTGAAATAGCATTTAGATGTATTTACACAGTTTATATATCTCAAAGGGGACATGGATGCATTTAAACTGCAGTGACAGATGCATAAATAGGCCTAATGTTTTGTTTTTAATATAAAACGTTGAATACTGATATTTGAAACAATTTAAAACATGAAAAAAAGTCGAAATGTGAAATTAAAACTGCCAGTAGGTGACAGCAAGTGACTGTATGACTGCTTTAAATGTTTGAAAAAATATTTTTTATATATATTATTTTTTTAATATATTATTATTTTAAAACATTTGTTAAAAATGTAGAAAAGTAATCAAAAAGTATTCAAATGTAATCAGTTACATTACTTTAATAAAGTAATTGAAATAGTTACACTACTATTACAATTTAAATATGGTAACTTGTAATCTGTAACCTATTACATTTCCAAAGTAACCTTTCCAACACTGTATATCGCACACCCCAAACTCGACTTGAGTGGAAAATGAACCATCTGCGGTTGTGCGCGCAATTGTTTGCACGTGAGCAAAGGTGTTTTTTAGGAGTCTAACTTGCAGATGCCAGACCACTGATTCGTCAAACTGCTTTCCTGCAGTCCGTGTTCTTCTGACTTCTGACTATTTTGTAGTAAGTAACGAATATGTTTCGGGGAAATGTATCGGAGTAAAAGTATACATTTTAATTAGGAAATGTAGTGGAGTAAAAGTTAAAGTTGGCTGAAATATAAAAACTCAAGTAAAGTACAGATACTCCCAAAAATACTTAAGTACTGTAATGAAGTATTATTACTTCGTTACATTACACCACTGTCCTCTAGTGGGCCAATCAGGATAGTGCAGTCACCAGCAGAATCATCAACTAATTGAACTCCACTTGTTAGTCCTTATCAGCGTTTGAGAGAGGGGGAGAGAGAGAGAAAAGCAAAACAAAACAAACAGAGCACATGCACAAAAGAGACACTCCCACTTATATATGTCCTGGGACATAACACATTGCTACTTATTTACGTTTTCGCTTTGGGGCATCTGACAAGTGCCTCTTTGAAACCATGTTTTTCTTAACATAATGCGAGCACATTTTCATATTTAATTTTCAAAACATAATTTCATTTTACTACATTATGTTTAAAATGTGTTTGTGTTGTAGGGGAAAAAAACAAAAACCTACACAATTAAATTAAATTTCAAAGTGGTCATTTGGGACTCCCCTAGCATCCTGGTGGGCCTTCTGTTAAACAACATTTACACCTCCCAAAGGTGGGTTGACCAATGTGGAGGTGCAACTTTGAGCAGGAAAAAAAGTTTAATGTATTTATAATAGCAGAATATATATATATTACCCCATACATCTGGGGTTTCAGATGTGGGAATGGTGTCCGCTCTCCCCTGTAAGTAATTACAGACAGCCTCGACCCAAATTCCACTCCAAGACAGGTGTTAGAACATGCTGGTGTTTTTAAAATGGCTTAATGATCACAGAGAGAAGTCAAGAGTTTCTGCACCATTTGGGATGATCACATCCTAAGCAAATGGTCTTCAATTCTAGAATGGGAGCAGGTGAGCTAAACGTAGAACCATCAGACAATGGGGTGTTTGAACTTTATTAACATACAGATCACAGCTGTTAGAGTAGCCACTTCTTTTACATTAGGGGTGGTAAAATGTAACTGTGTAAAATGTTTTGACTTTAGGATGTTCGGTGTTAATTCAAATTCAAGGTGCTTCATGTATTTTGTCACTGCTACACTTCAAAATAATCTTCACTGAGATCTTCACTGGCCTAATTTTTCTTACACCCCCTAGTTTCTTTAAAGGGACAGTTCAGCCAAAAATAAAAATGTGCTTTTAATTTACTCACCCTCAGGCCATCCAAGATGTAGGTGTGGGAACATATATGCTTTTAATATTTTCAGCCTTTATTCTTCTTACTGTGTAACATATAATCACAGTTTTACATGCAAGGCTGAACTACCCTCATACGTTTCTGTTAAGAACTTATAAACAAGTACATGGTGCACCCGGGATGTATGCCAATGCTTGGGCCGGCAGAGAGGGAGATGTATGTAGTTGAGTTGTTGGCCACTTCTCATCTGACACTTGACTAGTAAGCGACATTAATAAAAGACTCTTCATCTCGACCCCAGACTCAGTCTCTTCATTCCTGATCCAACATAGGCAACCTTTTTCTTCTGTAGAACACTAAAGATGATTTTTAGCGAAAGTGGTCCTTGGTGATTTATAAAATGCAAGTCAGCGGCTGCCTGTATTTGTGAATTAAATGAACAAACAAAAAAAAAGCATATAAAGGAACATCAAATTAATACCTGTGGCTTCTGATGACATACTGAGGTCTTAAGAAGTGAAATGATCGGTCTGTGTAAGAAATTCAACATTATTTACAACATTATTACCTGTAATCCAGAGTCTCAGACAAACGGTACGGAGTGACATCCAGTTCGCGAACGAATCATTCTTTTGAATCGGTTCTTTTTGGTGAACTACTTGAACTTGTCGAATCGTTGGATAAAATCGTCTGAATAAGTTCACAGCTCGAACAGCACAGATCTACACGTTACTCAATCAAAACTCACTTTTGGACACCTGACAGTCTCTCCGACTGGAAATGAGCCAAAATACTGGAACCAGTTCATTGAAATGAACTGTCCAAAAGAACCATCGTTTCGCTTCATAAGACCTCAATATTTGGTCAGGAACTAGTAAATACTGTTTCAGCTAAAAATCTTTACTGTTCTACTGAAGGTAAAATGTCACGTACATCTTGGATGGTCTGAGGGTGAGTAAATTAACAGCAAATTTACATTTTTGGGTGAACGATCCCTTTAATTGCCCTGTCTAACATCAATAGAGTAAATTAATGTAAAAAAAAGTACCTTGTTAGTGCGCTTTGCTTGGCCATTTGTTGGGATAAACAGGAAAGTGTGTCCAGCTGAATTCAATTAGAGTTTTGTTAAACGAATTAAAAAGAAGCTTAGTTTACCGCGGTCAAGGCTGCGGTCGTGTGAAGACCGAAGAGTGTAAAGACTATCGACTCTACCGTGCGACTCCACCGGGCAGGGACACCGGCAAAGGACATCGTGCGACTCCAGCTGGCAGGACACCGGCAAACGACATAAGTATCGCTTTTTATCTCTCCTCTTTCCTACTACTTGTTTCACTTCTGTTTCAGTTTTTATAACCATTTCTTACTATGTGTCAGTAAGCTGTTGTTATTTTAACATGTGTGTTTGCCTGTGTTATTTTTTAGGATTACTGATAAACTACTGTAGTTTGATTTGTATTAGTTATCTATTTTAGTTTTAGTTAGTTGTAGTAATGTTGTCATTTTATTAGTTTTTTTATTATGTCTATATAGGTTTCTTATTAAGTTTTATTTAATTTGAGTTATTTCAGTACTTCAACATACAAAATGGAAATGAAATAATATATATATATATTGAATG